GGGAAAAAAAAGCGAAACGATCATTCTATACGCTTGGATAGGAGAATAATGATTTAATTTCGGAAGATTTTGCTACCACGAGCCACGCAGATTCCATGGATAAATTAACTCGAACGTTCAAAGCCATGGAGGCCGCCCGAAATATCAGCGAACGTAGTGGTTCGTTGTGTTTTATCGGGTTCAAGGGAAAACGATTAATGAGCCACGGTAGACGGAAACTTCATCTCGAAATTGCAACGTTAATCCCGTTAAGTGGCCGTGGAAATTATTTCGGGGTCGATCAAAGTTTCCTTCCCTACCACCACCTCGAGTGGCCCGATATCGCGGAATGGATTAAACGCGCTCCGCGGAAATATCAGGCGTAAACATTAATTTATCAACGATGAATTATTATCGTCGGATGAAAAGTTCGCTGGGATTTTCTTGTTGAGTTTCCGGCTCGTCGCGCCACCTTATTCACGGTTATGTCTAATTAATCGCCTGCTATCCTAGCCACGCATGGTCGAAACGAACGATCCATTTTCAATCTCCCTAAAGAGCAAACGGAATTCGGGAATTCTCTCCTATGGAACTCGCCGTCCACTCAGAGCGTTAAATGCCAAGATCAATGTTGCAGTGGTGAACACACCACGAAGAAATCTTCTCCGATAGACTGCCAGAAAGACAGACAAATTCTTGGGGACGGTCGCGAACACGTTGAAGAAACAACAGAGACACGATTATTTGTTTATCTGTTGCATAATAGACACGTTCGAGCGATTTATTCGGATATCGTCGCGCAAGTCTTGTTAGTACGCGTAACTGTCAACGTTATTTTTAGGGAATCGTGAGTCAGAATCACCAAAATGGTCTGTGCTTGTGGACGATCGCGAAACGTCACCACAGTGCCGTTTTCCATGTGACGAAAATTGAGAAACGAACTTTATTGTTGTTGGTAATAGAGATCCCCAGGTGTAACGTTCGCTTTTTAATGAGACGTAGCACAGTCATAGAGCTTGGAATTCTGATGACAATAATATTTGTTTCAGCCGCATATGGCCATTAATATATGGCCGAAATATTTCATATTTACTGCCGAAATTTACAATAAGTTTGTGAAGGAAAAACGACATTACTTTCTGGTGCACAAAATATTTCTAGGAAATCTTATATCTAGGATAGATGACCCAATTACTTGAAATGGTAAATTTTCCATTTTTACCACTCAAGGCATCAGCAGACAAGGAAGTTCCAAACGTGTAGAGCGTAAATTGTCGGCCAATGTCTCGTTTACCGATGAATAGAAACGAATCTCTAATGCAGCGACTGTTATTTTAACCCCGTAGCATTACTAAATCGCGACGTGAAACGGAATTTCGCGACAATTCGGACTAATGGCGCGGCGGGCCCGGTCGAACCGATAATAATTCAGCATTTAATTATGAATCTGTCATTTTGGGCAGACCGTCCGCGTTTCACTGCAGAGACCGCAAACTGCACAGGGGCCTCGGAACATTGGTGAACACCGCCCTCCACCTTCCCTGCCTGGATATTGTATCGAACCGGAAGATAGATCGCCGTGTCCGCTCGGGAACAAAGTCAAGAGCAGCCACGTCGATATTTCATCGCGCGACGCCGAAATAAAAATACAATCTCCCTCCCTTCGGTGGATTACGTAAGTTCGCGCCGCGATACACGAAGGAGAGATTCCGGGCATTCTTCAACGGGTTGCTTGAGTAAATAGCCACAGTCGTGAGGTCAAGAAATTAATTTTTTCTTTTGCATCCGTGCATCCACGGTGGGCATAGTGGTCCAGAATTAAAATTAGAAGCTCAAATGGTCAGAAATAAATTTCTTTTAGACACTTAAATGTAATCAATTTTAGTTAAAAATAGAAAAAATGTTCCCTAAACATTCAAACTTTTATAAAGATATTGAGAATAATCAATTTGGCCCATTTTCTACTTCTATTTGAATGAAATGTATATGTTTCAAAATTTTTTGTCGTTTAAGCTGATAAATTTTTATTCTGAACCACTGTGACAGTGGTGTTGGCTCGTTTGATGTCTGAAGATTCCAGAGACATTTTTAAAATATTTTCATTCTGTAAACGTTCGCTGCACGAGCTGTTTTCATACAGCTGCGCATGATCTTACTCAACACCGAGTGTGTGCAGCCAAATTCAGCATCCGGGCAAGATCATGCAACATTCTAATAATTTCTATTTCGGTGTTTTTCAGCTGCTCGAACGAACGTACACCGAGAACATCGTGTTTACTGACTAGTTTCGGCTAAATTTGAGTCGGACGAATGGTACAAGGTTCAAAAGTGATATGTTCTTATGAGACATACGGAGTTACAGCCACTTTGGTGGTCCGAAAATCATATGTAAGTTTTAGAATTTTTAATATATGATATTTACTACAGAAGCACACAAGAATTTGTCAAATTATTGATTTTTGTGAAAATGGGGAGCATTTGAGTGACATTGATAAAAAAATTAGTGTTACCCTCTCTTCTTATCAGTGCCAAGGAGCCTTCGAACACTCATCGAGGATTTCCTATAGAATCAACCTCTTGAAACAGGTTTTTAGATGTATTTTTGAATTTTGCCAAAAAATTTTATAAAGTGACATATGATTTTCGGGCCTCCAAGGTGACCTTACCCCTTAAGATGTCTAGTGACGGACGGTATTCACAAAATCCCGATTATAATATGTCTGAGAATCATATGTCTCAATTATTAAAAAGTAATTTTCCCGCGAGGTATGCAGGATACCCTTCACGTTCAACCACGATGGTGCTCGATCATTTATTACCGGCGAGTTTCGAAAAGGATAGGAGGCCCCAGCCGGGGGATATACGGGTCGTTAGTACCACCTATAAGTCGCAACTACGAAGTACCCACTTTGTCATCTTTAAGCCCTTTCTTCCCCCCCGATGGCAATAGATTACACACTTTAGCGGTCCACGCTTCCATTCTTCTCTTATTGGACGGAATGTCGGGGCAATTGTAGGCAAAGTGTCTTTCGTCTGATGGAAAAGATCGAACGGAGTTGAAAGAATAAAATATTGTTAATACCGTGGAACCTTATTCCCTAAATGCTCGGACAAAGAACTGAACTCCTCGAAGATCCTAGGGCAAGGGAAACTTTTAATGAATGAGTCTTCGGTGAATAATTCTATGGGACAAGAGGAACGATTCGTTAGTAAATTCCAGGGGATTACGCGAAGTTTAAATTGATCCGAAGACGATTTCATCGGAAATCTATTTTCTTCCGTGGAATGTTTTGAGGGGTCTGAATGGAAAGAGAATGTACACTGTAGGTCAAAAGTATGGGACCCCATTTTCTAATTAAAAAAACAAAAAAAAATATTCTACACAGATTTGATAAAGATAATTTACTAAAACTGATTAGGAAATGATTTATATATGTACTGATTTAGTAATTTTTCTTATATCGTAACAGAATACTGACTTACTGTTCCATCAATCATAAGCTGTGGTCCCATACTTTTGGCCAGTAATGTATATCAAGGCTTTCAAATTCACAGAAGTTAACTAAACTCGAGAACGTGACGTTTCACAGATTAATTTAAACGTTCGCACCCGTAAAAAGAATCCGTCTTCGTTTATTCCGGTTTGCGCGCGTTCCTCTCCCTTTCCCACGTTGCCGAAACTCTCAAGAAAGGAGAGCTCCTCTCGATCTTTTCCAGCTAATCGACCGTGTTCACAGTTTCGCGGGATCTCGAGTAGAGATGGAGAACGTCTTCGAGCGTCTTCGAACGAATCTCGTCGGTAACCAGGTGAATCGAGGATGATTGAACTTTCGATGAGGATGAGGCAAAGGGGGAGGAAAAACCCTTGATTTCTGGGCGCGTCTCGAGCCACTAACGAGGATAATCCATGGGAGATGGAGAAGAATCACCTGTCGACCCCCCTCGACGTTCCTTCTGTCGTTAAAGGATCGAGAGATGAACTCAGTTACCTCACTTACAGCACGGACAAGAAGAATCTAGTAGCAAAATCGTTTTAAAATTAGGACCTCTTGAATCAATGTCTCTGATCCTCCTCTTACCGATATCCACGAGGTATCGAATTAAAGACTTCAGGACGTAGGAAAATCAATTGGAAATAAAGAAAGAGCCCCATTCTCCGACCTCGATTCCAGACGATATATGTGAAAAATTAGGTGTAGACACCAGGGCTGTTGCTCGAATATTTGAATAGCAGTAGAACTCGAATTCGATATTCGAATTCATGCAGTTCCATCAGATACTGGATAATATTAAATTTAAAGATATAAAAAATTCAAATTACGAATCTCTAAAATATACTACCGAATATAAGACAAAGTTGTCGATATTGCGTTGACACAGTGGAACAAAAATATTTCAGATGATCGGGAATCGTTATTTATGTTCACCTTAAAAGTACGTAACTTTAATTTTGTATATCTTTAAAATTAAGGACTGTCTAGATCTAATATTTCACATTTATCATTAGTAGGTTGTATACCATCAAAGTCGAACAGTTGGGTCCCTTCCCTAGTCCCAAAGCTTCTCCCAGAGCACCCTATAGAGTTCAACTCCGCAACTTCAGAAACGTTGCAGAGAAGCTCCGCCAGGTAGGTGTCCATTCGCAACTCAGCGATTTCTGTGATTCACCGACGAGGAAAACGATCCCCAGCCGCGTAAAGTTCAAGGACAACGATCGACGAAAAAAGTGTGATCCTCGAGACGGCGTGAGTAGCTCGCAAGAGGGCGTCAGAGCTGACTGAGGAGGACTCCTGCCATTGGCGTTCACCGGGAGATCGTGGGTCGAACGACGGGCTCTCGACTAGAATCGTCGAGGAAAGAACGGGAGCAACGATGAAGAGAAGAAAGAGGGAGTGAGAAACACACAGATGAAACAAGAGAGAGGAAAAGACTAGGGCGGAAGCTCGGGCAGAGGATCAAGAAACGACGAAGTAGGAGGCAGAGAGCGACGAGAAGTAGCTGGCCAGAAATAACTAATAAGACATTCACTCTGAGACGGGCGGCCAGCCGGCCCGGACGAACGCGGTGCGTCTCGTAATCTCGTAAAACGGCACCTCGATCACACACACACGCACACGTACACATATTTCGATAACACACGTTACCCTATCGTTAAGGGGACCAGTGACCGTAACAGAGAGTCTCGTGGAGTTACGTCGAGCCCGGAAGAAATTCCTAAAAACACCCATAAATTCTATATAGAAACGTACACAGACACAGTGCCGGTGAAAGAAATAATCGCGTGGTACCACTCTTCAGTTTCCGTCTCATGGTGACCAAAGTTCTCGTCCAAGTGACCGGTTCCGACACACTCTCTTCTCTGGACACGGTTCGAAATGAGACCGGTGTGAAAAGAGGAGGAAAAATATCGAGAGACTAGAGGGGAGAGAGAGAGATATTCGTACGAGAGATTCGCGTCACGTGATCTATCCAGTGCTAGTGTGATCCATCGTTCGTGAGCTTCCTGCTTGTACATCCAATCGCTAGAGAGAGACGACCACAGAACCATCAGGGGAGAGGACGGACGTGTGCGGTGTATCTCTCTCTTTTCGACCGTCGCCATCGCCGGGGTCTAATTTTAAGTGTTAGATAATGCACACCGGTGCGCACCGGTGCGCTGCTCCGTTACTAAAACGGTATATACGCGCGGCGCGCGGCACAAGCCTCCTCGGGGCTCACGCGCAAGCCCTGTTCCGCGCGCGGATCGCCGCCATTGGCGTGGAAAACCCCCGGCCGGGCGCGATGGGAGGAAAGTGATGGGTGTAAAAAAACCGGCGGTGGATATGGTTTATCTCTGTGCCACGTGCTTTGATTACCGTTTTAACGAATATACTGGTACGAACCCAGTTTCTGATCGCTTGAGAGTAAATACAGTAAATCGTCGATGAATGCACGGAGGCTCCTCGGCACTGAACATTGAATATTTTATAAACTAATGGCCATATGCTCAAGAAGGAGCAAAAGACAAAGTTACAGCTGGGGACTTCTTCTTGTCAGTGCTGAGGAGTCTTCGAACAATCATCGATGATTTACTGTATTGCGGATTTTTAACGTGTAAATAGAAAAATTAATGAAATTCGAAGAGTTCTTATTTGGGTTAATCTACGGTTCATCTTTGAGTTGATATTATCACGAGTGCAAAAGTAATAATAATTAAATTATAATTTAACTTTTAATGTGGGAAAAGCAAAGGGGAGAATTTCTGATCACCTAAATCTTATAAATATAGCTCACTCTATCAAGATTTACGTCTTAATTTCAATATAATTAATAATTTCTTTAGTAATTTTCTGGAATAAACTTTTAGCATAGTAGACACTAAATATATGGTAGATATATACTAAACTGATCAGGAACTGGATCTGTAACGAATATACGCGACGACCATAACCCAAACGGGATTCACGAGGATCTTCGAACCCCTCGAGAGGTTCCTTTACGATACTGGGAGGTGGCGAACCCTCTTTCGAAGTTTCAGTGCTTCCAGCATAGATCATTTCAAATTACCCGCGCGCGTTTATTGTGGTCCCTCGGATCTTCGAGCTCTCATCCAACCATCCTCGACGACGTTTCACTTTTCTTTCCCTTCTTTGTTCTCGTACAACGTGTATTTTTCGTTGAAGTCCCTCTCCTGTTCAGTGCGGATAATCCACCAGGACAGTCTTTTGAAGTGAAAGTTTGAAATAGAGTCGTGGTCCTCGGGAGAACTGTCGGAATCACCGTGAAAGAATCGCGGTTTCTGCGACTTTTTTCTGCACCGCGTGCAGATTACCCAGGGCAGTTTTCGACCGAGATTCTCGAATAGTTTCGTCTCTCTTAACCTTTAGCCTACCGGCAGTATCCCTTTTAACGAGTGACAAAACTCAAAATTCAGCCCAGTGCATATCTTATATATATATACACAATTAATACTTTCATTTATTTCAACCTCATGGCTATGAAATTTTACTTGGCTTACAAACTCCTACTACGTTACTTTCTTAACCACTCATACCTCATTTTAACTCGTCACACACACCCACGTGCAATTCTACCTCACGAATGAATGAACACTTAATAGATTTTCTAACTATTATAGTCGAATTATAAATGGTAATAATATTAATAAATATATGGCTCATGAAAATTAGATTTTATGACGTATAGATTTCAATTGAAAAAACTGGAAAAGTGTAATTAATTGAATTAAAAGAACATATGGAGATGTCACCAGTGAATGAACAATATTTAATAAATGAACATTCCTAGCCAGTGGCGGGAAAATTGTTCGAATATGAGACAAGAAATTGAAAAAAAAATCCCTATTTAATCATTTGCATATTTTAATAATTTATACGTTTTTATATATAACGTTCATTCACTGGTACGTGTTCAGTTGATGATGCACCCAGTCTATATATACCCTTTAAATATATATAAATCTTTCGTCAAAACAGGTACTTTTATATGAAAAAAATGCCGGTAGTCTAAAGATTAAATCGTCCAATTTCATTCTTCATCTCTCGCGACTAATTTCCCTATACGAGGCCCCATATCGACAAACGTATTCCCCGATCGACAACTATGTCTGAAAATACACACGTTCCATCAGTTTCTTCCTCGTCGTTTTCATCGTTACCAACCGTCACAGATCGACTCAGTTTTCATCCTCCACCCCCGCTGTCTCGGTCCGGTTTCGCCGTCTTAATTGCGATTCATCTTCATTCGCGGCCTCTTTTCAAGCAGCACAATGGTCGGAGAACGGTGTCTCGTTTCTTTTTCCTCTTGTCTCTCGTTTTTCTTCCTCCTTCCCCCCTTACCCCATGAAGCCATCCACCGACCGTTTTTTTCTTCCCTTCCATTTCTTCTCCCGATGCACTTTTCTTCTTTTCCTGTCCCTCCGTTCAACGCCTCCCACTACTCTCGACCTCCTCTCTACTCTCTCACTCTTTCTCTTTCTCCCCATCTCTCCCATACCCTCCGACTGTCTCCCCGTTTCCCGTCTATTTCTCTCGTGCCGTGCTTCCACTCCTCCGCGTTTCTCACGTCGACCACACCGTTCTTCGATCCCACTATCTCTCCTCCTCCGTCTGTCTCTTCTCTCTCCGTGCTCTAATATGGCCAGCCGGTGTCCAATTACCCCGGTTCGTTCTCGCTACACTTTTTCCACGGTCTATCTCACGGCTACCCACCGATGCGCGCGCGGGCGAACGCACGGCGCAACGGGGAAAAGATCCTCTCTCATCAAGCGTCGCGACACTCAGCTTTCATTTTCCACCTTTTTCCAACGCTAGGACCCACCAGCCTCCCCTCCCACCTTTTTCCATCCGTCATCTCACTACCATCCACTTCTACTCGTCACCGAACGTCTTCCGGACGTGCCTTTTTCCGAACGTCCGAAGATCTTGCCGCGACGACGGAATCGATCACGGAGCGTCGAGATTTAAATTGGGAAACCGTGCCGATTCCCCGAGGCTGCCACTCCTCAGTCGTACGGAAAACCGATTAAAAATATATATATATATGTGGGTGAGTGTGTCGATGGAAAGGGGATCGAAGTGGAGGGACGGGTTTAGAGACGATTAAGGCGCGATGTGACGGGAGGAAGTAAGAGGAAATGGAGATTGTTCCCCACGTGCAGATTCCTACTTCTGCTCTCTCTCTCTCTCTCTCTCTTTCTTTTATACGAAGGAAAATTGATGATTCGAGGATTACTGATAATCCCACAGGGGGAAAGTGATTCTCGCGGCTCTGGAAACTTTCGACCCGTGGAAGTTAGTCGAGCTTGTTATTTTTTTTCGAGACGAACTCCTGCTGCTGCTGCCTTCCGGTTAATGCTCACTAGTGTACGTTTTTCGAACGTACTGTGTGTATATACCGTGTGTCAGGATAGTGGAATAGATGTGGAATGGTATAAATAAAAGTGAACGGTGGTGCAAGTTTTCGTTTTGTCGGGGATATGGATTCTCTAACAGCCAGTTCAAACGATTCGGTGTTTTAACCGATTAAATAAGGTATTTTATAACATATTTTTTGACCATACAAGTGAGAGTTGGATTTTCGGTGAAAATACGGACCGTGTGAACGCTGTTATATTATCGATTTGGCAAAATTAATTCGAATCGGTTAAAAATCCTGTCATCTGAACTGGCAGTAATATTCGTAACCTCGGTACTATACGTAGAAATAACCCGTGATGGTCAGACCATACTAGAATTTGCAATCGTAATTTTGAAGCACCACGTGGAAAGGATCTTAGAGATATTAGAATCGTAGAGTTTATTAAGAAACTTTCAGTCTCTGATTATTCACGAGTGAGCAAAAGCCGGGTGGTATGGCTCACTGTCTGACCACGCACCGTCTCAATCCCCTCGAGCGATTACATAAGCTCTCGAACATGGAAGTTATCATTTTCCTTCGGCAATCCGTGTTGGGATTCTTTCTTGAACCGTGAACAGAGAAATTTTTGAGAAAAGTGAGAGTAAATAGTGTGTTCCGGGCTCGAACGATACAGGGAACAAGTGTGTACGATCATTGGAATAGCATAATGGCCACAGTTTCCTAATTTCCTTCGCGCGTCGAAACCGTAGTTACGTGGATCGTCGACTTTACGCGGACACGCGACGAGTCGTTTAACGGTGGTGATTTAATTTCTAGCTGTCACAGCGCCGGATATTGGTGAACGAAAAGTGCTACGACTTGGGGCCCCCATAGAGAGGGCCCCCCAACGGAAGAGACCGCCGCAAGGCGGTCAAACTCTCAGGTGAGAACACCTTTTTTTCACAATTTTTTTTTTCTTTCAATCTTCTGCTAATTCTCCGGAGCAGCGAGTTTGCCCATTAAAAATTCGATGATGGGGGTTTCGAGCTGAAAAAACATTTACCGAACTAAAATGGAATTTTTCGCGAACCTATATTAACATGTCACGATGAATCTCAGTGCCTCGATATCGTTCACCGATTCAGAAATCTAAGAACAAAAAATTCGAACGTGAACCCATTCACTTCATTTGAAAAAAAAATGAACAATAATTTTTATTAAATTTAATTATAAATAACTCGGAAAGTATATAAAACAACTTAATATTTCATTGATTTGAGCCATCTAGTTTAAGTGTTTTAAACGAAGCACTGGTCCCAAAATATTGTAAGTCTTCGAAAGGGATGATACCTCAGAAATCACCCCTTTCAAGGACTTACATCTATTTTGGAAAATTGCGTGTACATCCGTTAATAATGCAAATGGGTTAACCAATATTACAGCTTGAACATTGATACAAAAGATTCAAAATTTCGTCATGTTAATCCAATTTAAACAATCATCCTCGTTGCATATCTGATCTACGATGATATCGATAGTTTTCTATTTTTCTACCATTTCTTTCCAGTACGATTTTCCATTTGCACGGTGTATTGAACCTCCTCGATACCTCGTGCGAGAGAACGATCCCTTCATAAAATGTGTTCAAAAGTTTCATCGTCTGTGTCTATTGGCACGTGGGGCTCTAGACAATCGGTTCGTCGATATCGTTCGCGGTAGAAAAAGTTGAAAGCAATGGGAGAAGGATTATTGATAGTGTGGAGTGTGGAATAAACGTCGAAAAAGCAGGCAGTGTTTTTCGATGGAATTCAATTATTGCTTTCATCGACATATCCGATGGAGAAGGGTGGGGAACCACGAGGGTATATCCAGCCGAAACTTCAGCTCTCAAACGTGTCGAAATAACGTGAAATATTTATCGAGACTTTAAACGGATAGCTCTGACCGTGTTTGGTTTCTTAATCAACGATTTATAATTACGTTCCTTCCGCTTGGTAAACTCTTGAAGATAAACGATCGATAGCATCGAGTGTATAAAATGTTTTTACGAAATATCATTCATCGTTTTACGGTGTCGAGTGTCGATTCAACAGGGCAAACGAAACAGCCACTTGACGTTTCACTTCCAACTCGTACTCTTCTTTTTTTAAATAAAAAAAAAATATGAATTACGAATGGGGGAAAGCGTTTGATTTATCTGTAAAACAGAAGCAAAGTTCTCTCATATTGAAACGCGAGGGCAGGGCTAATTCATTTCCTCTCACGCTTTAAGCAGCTTCTTTCCCCGCCCGGCTCACTGAAACGAAATAAGTCTAATTACTTCTTTTCAACGGCAGACCATTCAAATCCCGCCGCGTAAAACTGTAATTTTCCGAGGAATCGCTCGGCGGTTCTTGTAAAAAAGTTTGCCAACGCGAAAATCGTTTTACGGGATCCACCAGCGAATGGCTGATCTCGGTTTTCGAGAGGAGGCAACGATGGGATCAAGTCTTTATACAACAAGGTTCAAACGAAACTTTTAACGATATTAAATACTTGCTAGAATCACGCAATGGCGTTAATTAACTGCACTTTTCTGTGATAAATAAATAAATCCTATACTCTACAACTCGGTTAATGCGTAAACTCAATTTTTTTCAAATTCTGATATGTGGCGTTTTTACATACAGCCACAGAAATATGGCTCTGAATTTTTATTTTGATGGTAAATCCATCACTGCTCACAGTTACCCACCAAATTCAAAGCAGGCAATTTCGTTAATTCAGGAAAAGCGGTGAGAAAAAATTTTAGAACGTCGGCCAGTTGGATGGAGGTGGGAGAAACGAGTCTCTCGAACCAGCATCTAATACGGAAGCGGAGACATTAACGAGCAGCTGTGGCAAAAAGTGTGCGTAAAACTTCGTGCTTCGAACCGGGCCGTATCCGCAAATTAGCGCAGTTAAACCGACGCGTTTCATTCCTCTAATTAATGCTCGTTCTCACCGTCGGCGACACATTCGTTCTCATACTTTTGGCTCGAGTGGAAATTCGGAGTTACTACGGACCAGCGTGCTACCCCCTTGTCCCCAGAGTTTTCCCCATTCTTTGTTTTTTACCTTTTCCATTTCCTTTATTTTTTCATTTTCGCACTTTTTCGGCCGAGCTTGTACTCGACTCGGTGGAAAAAAAATAAAGGATAATTGTCACACGTTCCTCGTCGTTCGTTCCATTGGATTTTCTATACATATTGACGGCTAATACGTCCGCGGCGCTACAAACTGCGCGAGATAACGAGCGGCAGAGTATAAATTCACGGGGCCAGGCCGAAGACAAACGTCATTCGGCCGCCGTGACACACGCGAATCTACAATTCGAATTTAAACAATGACGTACATTCGTTATCGGACAGTGACGCTGGGGACAGTTTATGTCAGGGACGTTCGTTCTCCAATAAGAATTAAAGTCTGATCTGATAATCGGGGAAACGGTTGCGCGTCAGGAGTCGTGGATCATTCCGAGGATGATTCTTTGTGAAGTGAAAATTCGTATGTCAGACCCAGAGTGTGTTAAGTCGGACTTTTCGAACTTTAGAAGGTAAATCAAAGGTGGACAAAATCTTGTAACTTTGGAAACGTTTGGTAAGAATTCAACGAGATGCAATCGTTATCTTTTGAATTAAAATTATTTCAGAATTTGAAATGATTGATTCTTGAAAAATGGGAAATAGAAAGTAGACGTAAAATTTGAGTATGTTGAGTATTAAAACCATGGTACCTATTGAAATATTATCTTCATTTCGGGACATATATACCTGAAAAGAACAGTAGAGTTAGGACAATTCTTGGTATATAGAAATGGTGAACATTTCATTAAGTTCCCTATGTGATAGACTTAATGCAATATTTATTAAAACTAAACGACTTAGAACGAAATAATTTTTACTATCGGAAACAGTGGAAAGTCTACTACGGGGAACATGTAAAAGTGGACTTAATACACTCTGGGTTTAGGAACCAGATATACACTGCCACTCATAAATACACCGCGTAGCATAACTATAAAACCACCCTAAAATTTCCAATTCTTATGTATAGTGGTTAAAACAGAAACGAACCAAGTATGCCATGTCTGAAATCGTGTTGAGAAATAATGTTTCTCCAGAAAATGATAGATTATATTCCCTAAAAACGAGTGGTTCGTTTTTATTTTACCCACAATACATGAGTAAAAATTTTAAGGTGATTTTATAGTTATGCCACGCAGTGTATTAGGACACCTGGTCTGTACGAAGAAAATGTGATGTTTCGTAAGAATGATACACCTGGGGCCACTTTTATTAGTTTATACTAGCTTAAACTTTAATACCCCTAAACAATATTCATTTCAGACTTTGTAACACTTACTGCATATTTAAAAAGTGTCCTAATTCAATCATCCCTGGAATCTTCGTTCGTTAGGCTCCTCAAATTTCCCCTGTTTTTTAGTCATCTTTACGAATAACTCCTCGAATCCCATTCAGTCAGGTCCATATTCAAGGCCCTGTTCCCCAAGCTCTTGTTCCAATTTTTGTTCTTTCGTACCCTTCGGTGATTCCCTTCTCTGTCTTCAAACGCTTTTCAGACCCCCCATTCGGTCCCCAGGTAATTTTTATCATTTCTTTTTTAAGCTGCAATCTGGTCGTACCAGGGCTAGAGAGAGTGTACGTGCTGAACGAGAAACACGCTCGTCGAAATAACGGCGCCCTCGAGAGAGAAACGTTGGACGAAAGCCTCCCTCGTAGTAGTGTACAATGTTCGGAATTGTGTAGACCCAAGTAATACCCTGGCCGCGATCACGTCGGGGATTAATGAATCGCGCAATTAAATCTCGAGCCGCGTTAATACCACGACGACGGAACAATCCTCGCGACAATTATCGTCGCAGCACCTCGACGACAATTTGAGAAACCGAAAAAAAATCTCCTTTCAAGGGTGCTACATAAACATCCATCAGGCATTAGCACGTTTCTTGTTCACTAAATCTTTGTTCAATCCCCCCTCCAGTAAGGGAACGCAAAAATAGGGTGGGAAACTGGCAACTGATCAAGAAAAATTAGACTGATCTACGACATGGCAGAGCTAAAGTCACCAGGGAGAGAAATGGATTTCTTGTATTCGGATAAACGCACGTTAGACACGTGACGCACTCGTGCAAATGGAGATCCATTTTTCATCGTGCAATAGATACCCTATTCCCCTTCCATCGTCGACAAACCCCTCAGTCCCTCGACGACATACTCTTTGCTCAATCATTCTCGCGGTGACACAGCTCGCGATTTCAATTTCTCACCTGGAAATTTTAATCGTTTTTAAATTCCTACGAAGGAACACTTCTGGGGGATGGGGAGCTACCCTTCGAGGAACGTCTAACGAGACCGAACCGGTACTTTAAAATAATTACTCTCTCTCTAACGAACTTACAATTTAATTCAAAACGGCGTGTTTTCGCGAGGGCCGAGCCTCTTACGGCTAGCAAATGAGCGCCGTTGGAGAAATTATTCCGAACGCCCTTTTCGATGTTCATATCCTCAAAGTGAAAGCCGTTCGCTCAGGGGGGAAAGGATTTCCAGCGATCCTTTGACGGCTGGTAGTCCCATTAAATCGTTACAAATCTTTACCGGAGAATCGAATAATGTTCTTTTCCACGCTTCGTGAAACAAGGAAGAGATATCCGCCGTTAAGTTTAACGCACACTTTAATAGTCTCGTTTCATTGCCTCGAATATCAATTCTATTCTCGGGGGCCCTCGAAGGAAGATACGTCTGTGAATTACAGTTAACTCGAATCGGAAGAAACGTTCTTCGCCGAAGTGCAGGGACTGAAAAGCTCGTTAATTCATTCGAGAAAGTTACCATCTTCCGCGGTACATCATTACAAAGATCTCCCGGTTTAATCCTTTAACCGCCAGTGTGACTTATACATCAC